CAGTTACAAACGTACGGAGACATGGAGAATGATGGAGACTCACAGAGACACACAGACACACAGACCTAGACGCACAGAGACACGCAGGGAAACAAACACAGACGCACGGACACACATACAGACGGACACGTGTGCTTGTATGCATGAACAAGACAGACACACAACACGGAGCATGGAAAACATGCGCCAGGTGACACAAGATTTAGCACGCGGTTTCGCTCCCTACACTTCCAAATGCCGGTGCGGCACTCCTATGCTCGACACCCCTTTTCTCCAGCATTGATCGAAGATTTTGCTTCTGCAAAGTTCGTTTGCTCCACCCTTTCTACATGAGAACGTATTCCTCAAAAGCATGGTGGCCCAGATACGGGAGGCATGCTTTCACCTTGTCATGGGCAACGCGGCGGCTGGAATTGCCAGCGCCTAAGCGGCGAGAGTGGCATCGATTGGCCTGGCTGCCGGTTCAAAGCAGCACAGGCGCACGGATGTTGGTGCCTTGCAACCAGTCTTTATACCATGTTTATACCACCCTCCAAGTGGCCCATTTGTACCTGAAGTGCCCTTGTGTGAGACATTTCGTGTACCAGTTGACAACCCTTGGAGGGTGCCGGTCGTGTTGGGCGCTGTCTCACCCGAGTGTCGGTCTTACCAGCATCCCGTCATGCACCGCCTGACGCTTGTGATGCACGCACCCCGAATTGGCCATTCACATTTGTTCAGGGAGCTCGCCCGGCCCTGGCCCTGGTCAATACTGTGGATGGACTCATCCTGAATCATCGCTTGCAGCTCGCGCAGAGTTCCGCGCGCTCAGCCAGCAGCATTGCGAGGGGTTGATTGCCCTGCGTTTTAAAAGCGAGCTGGAACACGGGGTTGTTGGGCGGTTTTCAGGATCAAATAATGGAAGTGATGTGTAATCATAGGACCGACGCGCCAATAATATCTTTGCCGGCACTACTTTCAGCAGCCAAGGGCCTGTTTCAGACGCCCTTGGGCGTACAGATGCTGTCGAGAAGCCAGCTTTCCCGCACAAACTGTGTGTCAAGTCACAGAGGGTACCCTTTTGAAGGTTGGTTAGGGAGTATCAAAAGAAGCAGCGGAAAGCTACCATTTTTGGGTCCCATTATTTTCACAGGCCATGGCATGATTCTCACATATTGGAGCAAGAAGTGGAAGTGCGTGGGAGCGACTAGTACGCTCTGTCGGCGTCTAGCTTTCCTCCAAGCGGCAACGCCCCGCAAAAATATGTGGCACAATGATGTCAGAGGAGAGTTGCGGGCATGGAGAGGCACAAGTTGTCGGGGCTCTTTAAACAGCGGCACTTCCAGTGCGCGTGAAGAGTCACGCTCATTGGTGCTAGCAGCACCGGCAACTGCCAGGAATGATCTAATGCACGGCGGCTGTTGGACTGGATGTCTGAACGAGGTGTGCATCAGGATTCCACAGTACATGATTTCTTCCCCAGCTCGTGGACTTACAGCTTTCAACTCAATATCACTTTGGGAAAGAGTTGGGACTTTTCCTGACCAATCCACCGGAGAGTTGATCCGTGCTCAGGATTTCCATGTCGTGAGGCCCCGAAATGCAACATGTTGACGTCCTCCGACCAAACATGAGGCGGTATCGAGCATCTCGAAGGGTCCCCATGCTGAATGAAGTGCCAGCCCGAGGTCTAGGGTTTCCATCAGGCTAGATGGCTACTCCCGTTTTTTTCCTGGCTTCGAATAAGAGGCTTTCTTGGAGATCGATTTTTGTTGGCAAGATCGAGTGGCCAGTAGCGACCCTGGACTTTCCTTCATACGATCGGTAGTGATTTGTTTGTGTTTTGCTGTTTGACCTCTCAATGGTGTCAACGTGTTGTTTATCAGGTGACCCTCAGTTGGTGGTTTGGATGAGTGGTTTCGGGAGTTGAAATCCTGGCTTCTGTAGAGGGTACATGGCCACTTTGGAGGCTGGAATGTAGAAGGTATCCGGAGTCTCCAGCCTTTAGGGGGTCTACCGTCCACCAAAACAAAAGTTATGACCCTCTTTGCTCCTCTTCCCAGCCTCGGCCTGGAAGCAAGGGTCTCTCAACAAGGACTAGGACCAAATAGGACTAGACCAGGGATCTTTCAACTAAGACTAATACTAAGACATGGAGTCCTCTTTACATCAACCCCCTCCCCCCCCTGTGGAACCAGTCAGCTGGACCCTCTTTAGGCAAAATCCTGGGGGTCTGGGAGAG